AGAGAGAATAGTGGTGGATATTATAAAGATGGATAGATCTCTTCCTAAATTATTGGAAGTAAATTATTAACATTGAACATTAAAAATAGTTAAGCATAAGTTTTTGAAATTGGAGAGTATTAAAATGACTTTAGAATAGGAAATTGGAATTATAATTGTTATGATGAGAGGATGTAATATATTTAATCAGTTTAGTTATGGGGGGTTCTACAATAATTAGGGTTAAAAGTAAGGAAAATGGATTGAGTTAGACAAAAGATTTTAAAATGATAAATAAGTCATTTATAAAGGGGAATATAACATGAATGGTATGAAGGTTGGTAAATGGAACATTATGTATTACGGAAAATATATGTATGTATTATATCAATATAAAGAATACAGTGGTGGTGGAGCATATAATAAAGAAGGAAATTCGAAAAAGATTGGCATATGGGTTGAATTGGATGAAGGGTTCTTAAAAGATAAATAAATCACTTATTATGGTGAATATAATTTTAATGGCATGAAAGTAGGTCGATGGGATATCATCTCTTGTAAGTGGAATGAGAAAGATTATATGTAAATATTGATAATATATCAACATAATGAATATAGTGGTGGCGGAGCATATGATAAAGAAGGAAACTAGAAAAAGATTGGCAATTGGGTTGAATTGGATGAAGGGTTTAAAAATCATAAATAAGTTACTGAAAGTGGTGAATATAATATGAATGGTATGAAGGTAGGTAGATGGGAGTTTATGTGCGAAGGAGATTTAATGTAAAAATTATACAAATATAAGGAATATAGTGGTGGTGGATCATATGATTAAGAAGGAAATTAGAAAAAGATTGGAAAGTGGGTAGAATTGGATGAAGAGTTTTGTTATTAGAAATAAGTTACTTATAATGGTGAATATAACATGCATGGTATGAAGATTGGTAGATGGGACATTATGAATGCCGAAAGAATTACGTAAATATTTCTCAATATAAGGATTATAGCGGTGGTGGATCATATGATGAAAAAGGAAATTAGAAAAAGGTTGGCAATTGGATTGAGTTAGATGAAGGGTTTTAAAATGATAAATAAGCTATTTTTAATGGTGAATATAACATGAATGGTATGAAGGTTGGTAGATGGGATATCATGTACAGATGTTTTACCTATGATAAACTATTTGAATAAGTGTAAATAATCTAATTATAAGGAATATAGGGGTGGCGGAATATATGATGAAGAAGGAAATTAGAAAAAAGTTGGAAATTGGGTTGAGTTAAAGGAAGGATTTCAAAACAATAAAAAAGTCACTTATAATGGAGAATATAACATGAATGGCAGAAAGGTAGGTAGATGGGATATTATTTATGAAGAAGATAAAATAAAAATATTATAAATAAATAAGAAATATAGTGGTGGAGGATTATATGATTAGGAAGGAAATTAGAAAAAGATTGGAAAGTGGATAGAATTGGATGAAGAGTTTTGTTATTAGAAATAAGTCACTTATAATGGTGAATATAATATTAATGGTATGAAGATAGATAGATGGAATATTATGTATGAAGGAAATTAAATGTAATATTATAAAAATATATCAATTCTAGTGGTGGTGGATAATATGATTAAGAAGGAAATTAGAAAAAGGTTGGAAAAAGAATAGAATTGGATGAAGAGTTTTGTTATTAGAAAAAAGTCACTTATAAAGGTGAATATAATATAGATGGAATGAAAATAGGTAGATGGGATACTATGTATTGCAAATTTGATCAAATGAAATATAAATAAATGTAAATATTATAAAAATATATGAAATC